TCATGTTAATTAAACCTTACAGGCTAAGAGTGATAAATTGTTTATGCTACTGTTCGATTACAGCTGAAATACAGTCTTTAGCACAGTACACACCCTTATCTTTTGATTATATTAAGTGTAAGCTATATTTTCATTAAGAGGGTAAAGGAAGTTACATAATAATTATATCTATAGTAGAAAAAAAGAAGGGTTTTTAACTATATAATATTAGGGTTTGAAATTTTTTTTAAAATTCCTCAATTTTGTATCTTTTTGGTAAAGAAATAGGAACTGGTATTTTAGTGATTTTGTTAGTTTAAAATGGGCCAACATTCAGAACGTTCCTAAAATCTGAATATAATGTATTTGTGGGAGAATTGGAAAATATTTTATTCTATATTTTAATTATTCTATTGACATTAAATTGTTAAAATAATATAAAATCTTTAAAATGATAATCAGTAATCATTCTTTTTACAGTAAGATATTTGAGCTCTCAGGGCTGTGGTTAATCTTACTTATAGTGAGATACTTGATAGGTAATCATAATCCAAGAACTCAGTTCACTTTTAATCATCACTAAATGTTATTATTTTCTGTATAAATTATGGAATCATGCAATCAAGCCCAAATTTGTGATAATATTATGTTTATACATTTGTCTTTCTACTTAGATTGACACACCAGTGATCTAGAAAAAAAGGTAATTTTATTCCACAATATAAATATTTTTTTAAATATATTTTATTGATTTTTTACAGAGAGGAAGGGAGAGAGATAGAGAGTTAGAAACATCGATGAGAGAGAAACATCGAGCAGCACAATTTACAATAGCTAAGATTTGGAAACAGCCTAAGTGCCCATTATAAATATTTTATTCCACAGTTTTGTGGTACATCTACATGATGGAATACTATGCTGCTGTAAAAAAGAAGGAACTCTTACCATTTACAACGGCATGGATGGAACTGGAGAGCATTATGCTAAGTGAAATAAGCCAGTCAATGAAGGAAAAATACCACATGATCTCACTCATTCATGGATAATAGAGACCATTATAAACTTTTGAAGAATAATAGATACAGAGGCAGAGCTGCCTCAAACAGATTGCCAAACTGCAGCAGGAAGACTGGGGAGGGTTGGGGGGCAGGAGGGAGGGATGTAAGAGATCAACCAAAGGACTTGTATGCATGCATATAAGCATAACCAATGGACATAAGACACTGGGGGGTACAGGAGGCCAGGGGATTGTCAAGGGTGGGAGAAAAAGAAAAAAAGGACACATATGTAATACCCTTTGTAATACTTTAAGCAATTAAAAAAAAAGAATAACCAAAAAATAAATAAATAAATATTTTATTCCACAGTTTAAATAAAATGAAAAATAAGTAATGAGAATAGCATAGCAACTATGTTTTTGCTGGAGAGTCAGAGGAGGTTTACTCATGGTTTTGTGTCAATATTAATTTGGAGATTTTCTTTGACAGATTAAAAGATATCAACTCTCATTCTTTAGGAATAAAGGTTCTCTATATAAAGGGGTGGGCAAAGTTGTGAGTACACGAAACACAAAGTGTATTCTTGTATTATTATCTATATATATAAAAGGCTAAGTGACCATCCAACCGGCCTGTAGGTATGACACACACTGACCACCATGGGGACAGACGCTCAACGCATGGGGCTGCTGGGCTGTGGTGACTTGGCAGTGGCGGTTCTCAGATGATACACCTGGAACCAGGGAGGAGGGAGTCCGATTCTGGGTGTGTCACCCAAGAACTGCCCTCTTGCAATCCAGGACCCCTCGGTGGATGTCAGACAGCTTGTTTCAGCCCGATCCCCGCAGGCCAGGCCAAGGGACCCACCTGCTAGGGGGACCCCCGCTCACTGCACAAATGACTTTGATCTGCAAAGCTGCCCAAGGTGGGGCTAGCTGGGGAGGGACCTCGAGAGCTTGGCTCCAGGGCGTGTCTGGCCTGTCTAGCCGAGTCCAGCCCTTCCTTTTAATGTGCACAAATCCGTGCACTGGGGCACTAGTTTATTAAATATTGTATTACAACTGAACACCTACTTTTTCCCACCCCTGTATATATCATTTTTGAAAAGTAAAAGTGAAGTCATTTAAAACCATTTTAAGATTTATTTTAGTTAGGCTACAACTCTTATGATTTAGTTTTTTGTTTGTTTATTTTTATTTATTTACTATCCTCACCTGAGGATATGTTTATTGATTTTATTGTTTTTGATTTTTTTACTTTTGTTGAAAGTATTACATAAGTTTTGCAAAATAAGGATTTAAATGTAGCCATGTCATAAGCTATGTAATCCTGTTTAGAGAGATGGGGTATTGTCCCAGCAAGGTTAACTTATCAGAACTGCTTCAAGACAGTAGCTCCAGGGAAATAAACTTTTCAGTGTCCAATTACCATCCTCCCTAAGGATTACATTATACTTAAAGTGAAGGTTATAAACCTATGGGCTAATCAATGTCAGATCATTTTTAAAACAAAATTAATATCATTTGTCAAGAAAGTTAAGTTAATATTTTAATCTGTTTTTAGCTCAAGTAGAGATTACTTTGAATTGTTTTAAGCTTTAATTATAAAGTACAACTGATTATCACAGTGCATTTGACTTCAAAGCTCAAAGACTGAGCAGGTACCCAGAGGTACCCACACCATAAGCAGAAGGCAGAGAGCAGATATTTAGACACTTTCATGTATTGCATATGGCTTTCTATAAATCTAAAAGGTTTTTCAATATCTTGTTTCAATTCCTTATTACTCTCAATTGACATTTTTTCTATAATATTCATTGTCTCCTTATATGTTACCAAGTAATTAATACATTTATGAACTGCTTTTCTCAAGGTCTCCTTGAACCATCCTTTAATCATTAATAGTTATCATTTACTGGCTCTGAAGTCAACATTTTCAAATAAAGCATGTATCATCGCTTAATTCATATAACTGTGATGTTAGGGATTGATTTTTATCTAATTTACTGAATTTAAACAAAGTTAACCATCTAATAACTGGTGCTAAAAGTATGATTTAAACATTTAACCACAGATTTCAAACTGTGTATTTATCTCTTAGACTATTAGTCTGTACTTGAACACACAATAAAAAGTACGTATTTACTTAATTTTTAAAATGGGTATCAGTTCTTCTTATCAAAGATGGTAGGCCATTGTTAGAGACAGTGGGATCACTGCAGAGCACTGCTGCTCTAAATGTGATTCAATTTATGGCAGCGGAGTAGACAGAGAAGCAGGAGAAGTTGTGGGTGTGTAAGAATGAATCTTTATTGCAGAGGCCAGTGGCCACAGAACCATCAGACAATAGTCTTTCACAGCAGTTCCATATAGGCATCCGTACACTGGATGGTAAATACATCTTTCCTACAAAGCAGCATTAATCTCTGTACCTACAGCTGTTATCTGAGCAGCCGCACCCTGCCCTCTAGACTCACTGCCTCACATCATAGCGGTACCTAAGTTCTCTGGCTCAGCAGCTTCTCCTGTTTGCCCTCCCCAGCACACTAGCTGATCTCTGGAGCCTCACATAGTAACTACCTCTGAGCTTCACTCTCCCAGCACACAGGCTGGTTAACATAGTAGCTATATCTGAGCTGAGAGCTCTGATGGAGCACTACCAGCTCTCAGCTCCCTCTCTCCAGCTTCATCTTCTTCCCACACTCTCCCTACTAGCTAGTCAGTGAGCTGTATATTACTCCTTAGACAAAGACGGCTAGTTGCCAATAGTGACATCAATCATTTCGGTTATAGAAGGGCACAGCATGCCATGAGACGCTGTGATCTTGGACAGTCCAGTGTATTGACAACAAGGCCTTTAATTAGCCTTGACTATCAGGCACCTCTGGCATGGTTCCACACCATGTTTAATAATTGAAATGGAAATATTTGACAGCAGGTATCTGTGTAACTTGCAAGAGATTAAATCGATAGCCAAGTCAATCAGATATATCATTTTTTCCACTATCCTTTAAATCATTAAGATTTCTTGGCAGAAGGCTTAATATATAACAATTTTTGTGTGTGTATATGTGTATACAGAATATAGAAATAAATGCTAAACACTTGAAGATATTGAATAGTCTGGGAAATTGGCACAAGATAAGCTGTAAAAAGTAAACATAGGTCTCATATAACACAGGTGTGTTTTAGGAGCTTATGCTTCACATCACTGTACCCTTAGCTCTTACCTTTATGTGTAAAATTTAAAAATTAAAGGCAAGGTCTTGAACCTTAGTCTCTTATGATTAATCTAACTTAACATATTTTATTGTAGGCTTCCCATCAAGTCACACCCTCTACTTAAGAGATTAATAAAGGCCTAAATGGAATATATGTCTTTATATGTTATAAATTGTAGAGCTAAAATTTTTATATTATAAATTTTATATATGTAGTCATACATAGCCATAAGAAATAAAAAACTAAACTTTTAGTTCACTTTTAAGACTGGCAAATATTCATGAAAAGCTACTGATATAAATTAATGATTTAATAAGAATGCCTCATAAAATACAGATTATTATAATTAAAAGTTTTTAGGTGACTCTTAGCTGAGGATGTCAGTGGGTGTGTGCATGCATGTAAGCATGTGCATATATGTGTGATGTGTTCAGTATGCATACTTGTTTATATATGTACATGCAACAACCAGGTGATTAAGTATAGAACATATTTTCACAATTATATTTGCTTCGCATAATCATTTATGAGTGGAATTGAAAATATTCCATAACAAATGAAGAAATAGGGTATTTTGTTACTAATATTTTTGTTCCCCATTCTGTGTGAGCTGAGTCATGTTCATCTTTAGATTAACAGTTGCTAGCATTGTATACTCTGCATTTTTTTAAGTTTACTAATGTGTTATTTCTAAGCTTCATTTAATTGAAGTCATAGCGAAAGCATTAAAATCTTAAAAACCATTCAGTTTCTAAAAGGTACTTCACATGTTTTAATAGGCTTCCATTGTGTGTTTTTGCAGCAAGCTTAGTAGTGGAGGAGCGAACAAGACAGATGAAAATGAAAGTGCATCGATTTAAGCAGACAACAGGGTCTGGTTCTAGTCAAGAACTTGATCGCGAGCAATATTCCAAGGTAAAACTAGTAGTACCCGACCAATAGCCTCCTTTTATAAATGTACAGTGTGTATAGGACTAGCAAGCATTGAGATATATGAGAGAAGTGATTCAAATGCTAGTCTTGTCTCATAACCCCCTTTTCTTGCTATTTCCACAAAATATAACTTCATTAACTTGGATTTAATGTGTGTGGGTTTTTCTTTTTTCTAAAAAGAAAATGTAAACACTTTATATTAAAGTCACACAACAGTGTGGTCATTACCAGAGGGGAAGGTAGGGTGGTGGAAGTAGAAAAGAGTAAAGAGGGGATAACTGGTGACAGAGGAGACTTGACTTTGGGTGGTGAACACATAATGCAATATACAGATGAAGCATTACAGAATTATACACTTAAAACCTATATAATTTCATTAACCGGTGTCACCCAAAAAAATTAAAAAAAATAAAGTCACTTAATGATAGATTATCCATAGACTGAATCACATAAATAAGCAAGATAGATAAAACAATTTGATTGCTTGAATATCATTTAACATCACATTTAACTATTAAGTTACAGGTTTATAGTCGTAAATAACATTTTTGGTTGATATTTACTATTGAGATTTGTTACCCAATGACTAAAATTGTGTGATGTGAGATTTCTTATTGTCTGTTTTTAGTAAGATAAGTAACTGATTTTAAACTATTAGAAACTGAAATCCACACAATTCCACGTCTCTATAAATATACAATTTATACTTCAATATCAGTTTTTAAGAATACAATATGGAGTTTATAAACTGCTAGCCATCATCTAATAATTTTAATTAATATCATTTATTAATTAAATTTCATATTGCATGATATAATTTATATATATTATCTGATTTATTTGAAAATCTTATTTTTAGAATACTACAAAAGTGGCAGGAGCCATTACAGGAAAAACCGTGTTATAATTTGATATCAAGAAACCCTTTTGGAAGTTATGACCTTTTAGAAATTAAAAATTAAGTAAAACTATACTAAATATTGTTAGCTTGAAATGTGAACCTAGAAAAATCTACTTATATTTCTTAAAATATAGTTAGCATACAATATTACATTACTTTCAGGTGTGTGACAAAGTAATTCAACATTTAAATATTTAACAGTTTGATCACCACAGCAAGCCTAGTAACCATCTGACATCATACAGTTATGAGGATATTATTGACTATATTCCCCCAAAATATGTATATTACCCTTATTATCATTGCAGCATTATTTCCAATATGGAAACACACCAGTTGCCCATTGATAGATGAATAAAGAAGATGTGATATACTTATATATATGATGGAATATTACATAACCATAAAAAAGAATGAAATTTTGTCACTAGCAACAACATAGATGAACCTAGAGGGTCTTGTGCTAACTGAAATAAGTTAGACATGGAAGGAAAAATACCATATGATTTCACTTATATGTGAAAAGAAAACAAATGAACAAACATAACAGAAACAAAGTCATAGATGTAGAGAATAAACCGATGGTTGCCAGGGAGAAAGGGATTGGGAGGAAGGGTGAAAAACACCTACTTATTTTTAAATAATGGAGGCTGTTCATTATATAGCCAGATATTCAGAGATTAATACAAAAAAGTGTTTACCAAATATGATTTGTCACCAGACTTCCATAGCGTCGTGCATATTAGACGCGGTATCACTTTACATTTTAGGTTAGCTGTGAGAAGATTTCCAACTGAGACAGTGCTTACGGTCACCGTGGCTCAGTGTGGCCCGATTTGGTAGGACTTTGAAACAACAAAGTAAAATCAGTAAAGCAAAACAAATTAGTAACAAAAATACCTTGATGTTCCATAGAACTGCTGATTCCAGCTCCATCTATCTTCTCTGTGGTTTATTATCACTCACTCGGCTTACTTGTCTGTCTGCTGTATGGATATCATTATCATTTTTGTTTTCTTTTGCTACAAATGCAGGAAGAACTAGGAGGCAGGGTGATTTAGGCTTTCTTCCTCCTCCGTCAGATGCAGTTATCTGGAAATGTTTCACTGATTTCTTAGCATTATGTCCAAGGATGAGGTCAAATACAACAGCAGGAGGAGGTGGGGCCAGAATAGGAGGCAAGAAAGAAGTAAATAGAGAATCAGTATAAGATATTAAAAGCCTTTCTGAGTCATTCTGGATTAGGACTCTAATATTAATCAATTGATTAAAAAAAAATCTACAAAGTAAAGTGTGCTACAAGTCCCAGTGAACACTAATACTTACATTTGTAATAAATCAAAAGTAGGTTTATCTTGCTCAGGAAATTCCAAGTTCTCTGACCTTAAAAATAATTCAGAATATTTTTTTTCTCAGTGTCTTCCCATTCACAATACAGACTAGGCAAAGGGCCTGAGCCGAGGTGTATTTGGGGTAGGTTTAGTTGGCCTCCTATTTCTGTACAGTGTGATATCACAGTGTGGTAAGCACCAGGAGGCCCCAGAATAATTCTTTATTACAGCTCTTTTTTTTTTTATCAAATTTATGAAAATCGAGGTTCAGAAGAAAGGAGGCAATACTAAAATTCATGCAGCCTTTCTGCAGAGTGATGAGCCCTGGCACTCCTGACTGGAAGTTAGCTACCACCTTTACTGCTTTTGCATCACTGAAATGGGCACTGTACTCCAGTTTGATTCAGAGGCTCTTCTCCAGTTTTTCGTTTGCATACAATTTAATTATTTCCCTGCCGCCTTTACACAGGCATTCCCCCCCTTATTTGAATGTTAAAAAAACACCACATTACTTTTACTTTTAAATACATTACTGTTGCTCTTACTGACCTCAGAAACTGATGCTACACTATTTACATAAATGAGTATAAGTTATATCAATAAATGTGAGATGAAAGATACATCTTTTAAAAAGTTATAAAAGTATAAGATAGTAAAATATATAAGACAAATTAACAAATGATTAGTTTTTTATTTTATATGTCAAGTAAAAGGTAAATACTCTTCACAATTCTAATATTCATATTATAGCCTAATGCTTATAATAAAATATTTAGTTTCCAGTTACCTCAAATCTCTCTCATGTACTTTTTATTTTTTTTATCCATGTACCCCAACCTCTTTATAATTTACTCTACAAAAATATGTTGCCGAAACCGGTTTGGCTCAATGGATAGAGCGTTGGCCTGCGGACTGAAAGGTCCCAGGTTCGATTCCGGTCAAGGGCATGTACCT